CCTGATACTTTTTCAAAAATTTCGAATTTTTCAATTGCAGTGAATACCTACCTAAAGAAAAAGTTGGAATTATTTAATAAAAAAAAATGAATGACGGCGGGATCGAACCCGGGCCGTCGGCGTGGTAGGCAAGCGCGTTACCACTTAGCAACGCGCTCATTATTAAAATTTAGTTTCATTAGGAGTATATCTTCAATATATCGAATAATTGTTTTCATTTGAAATTTCACAAGATGTGGCTTCCCCCTTCTGCTCGTTCTACAGTCGACTAAATTTCAGTTAAACAAATAAAAAACAAAAAGCATTCATGCCGCAGAAAATAAAATTCATCCCGTCGACTTGATGGACACCCCAGCATTGCGTGTGGCGTCCTCCCTCTCTTGGGGTGCAGTACTACGATGCCGCTGGGGTCACTCAAACCCCCACATCTGAGCGTCTACTTTAGTCAATCCTCTTTGCCCTCAATTTTCTCTAAATGATTAAATTTTCTGTTGAGACAGTACTTTCATTCATCAAGCCTGCCAATCCAACGAGACGAAAATTTCTGTAAATTTTAGTTATGGAAGAAATTGATTTCTTGGGTACAATAAGAGGTGCGTATGTAAATGCAATTGATCTCGGTGGGTAAAACGTTTATTTTCAAGCGGCGCCGGTTTACGGGGTAAAAAAAAAGGCGCGAACTCGTGCCGCGCATACGGCAGCGAGCGATGATTGGCGGAGAGCATACGTACATAAAACATATGTATTTCATCCTGGCGGCTGCATCGCAACAGTTGAGTTTATTTATCAACGCGCATTTCGCGATTATGCGTTGAATTTATTTATTAGCCAAGACGATATATTCACTGAGCCCTCAGTACTCGAGAGTCAACGATAGTAATACGAGAGATTCACACGCAATAATAAATTCGTGGAGGTAATGCCAATCAGCGATAAACATTTTTGTCACAAAGGACATAGAGTGAGGGGAGGGCAATACTAGTTTTATCACCTCGAGGGCGATTTGGGTGATTACATGCGACCGATTGGTTTATTCTGAAATTACCGGGTTTTAAAGCTAGTGATATATGTACAACGAATCAACAGCGAGTCGGTAAAGACTCAATTAAATTGCAATTTTGTCTCGGGTAAATGGGACGCCAGTGGTCGATGACTCCATAATAATTTGGACTATTGTGAGTGGGGAAAATGTAATGACGCCGGCTTTAAACGCTCTTTACTCTGATATCAATTTGTTTAAACCTTGTTGCTGGAATTTTAAAGTGTTTGCGAAATACGTGAATTATGTCTGTGACTTCGGGGGTTGTGAATAAATTCCTCAAAACGCTACGGGAGAGCAACAGCATTGCGGAAAAATGGACTGCCCTAACCTGCATCACCAGGTATACCTACATACTATTTATTGAATTCTGTTGTTCACGGTGCGGTCAAACGACTTAACGTTTGCATTTATTTTATTACACAATTAAAATCCAGGAACAATGAAAAATTTAACTATTTTTTCTCTGACTTTGCAGTCATGCCGGGAAGGGCCTGGCACAGGCATTGACAAGGGCTCAGTTCACCGAACTCTGCACGCAATTGATCAGCCTGATCACGAGCTGTGATCCAAAGAGTCATATCGATGTGACCAAGTTATGTAATATTATTTTTAAGGAGTTTACTCGCAGTGAACCAATTATTTTTGAATTGGCTTTGAATATTGACCGAAGCAAACGCCTCGCGTTTCTCGATTTTCTTACGGCCGTCGATCTTACGGTACTCGCTCACCTTTTGACAGACGAAAATGCTATTAAGTTCTTGGAGAGCTGCCTGGAGGGCATCAACGTGGAGTCCATGAAATGGCTAGGTAAGGATCCGACACCAGCGAACATCGAAGTCCTAAGGAAAATCGAAACCAGGCAATTAGACGATGAAGAAGAGGTGGAGCACACATTGATCACTAGAGTTATGCAATTCTTACAGAGGGTATACACTCAGGCTTCTGGCACTCCTAACTTCAACATTTCCCAGTTTCACATTTTGATTCTGGAGAAAATAACAATTTTGGCGTACATGGGCTACTCGAAACAGCGAGAGCAAGCCCTGAAGTTGTTGGAGTTAGCAGTGTGCCAAGGTTTGGTTACATACATAAGAGAAAAGCACCCTACCGCCTGGACGGCTTTCAAAGCCAACCTCGCTGAGGTGTTCAGCCCAAGAATGATGCTCCTGGTCACCTACAAATATTCCATCTGGTCGAGCCTCTGGTCCCTGACAATAAAAATGCTGGGGACAGAGGCTCACAAGAATTCAGCTCTCATCAACGAACTGCTCCTCGTAGAGGAGAAAGCCTTCAAATCCTCAGAAACCGAAGTGCGAAAACAAGCCTTCCTCTGCTGGAAGTATTTGATCGACAATTTCGCCCTCAACCCAGAGGAATTCAACATCTGGAAACGCGTGAAACTCCTGGTGATTCCTCTAAACGCTAAGAACAGTAAAATTGAGGTCATAGCACTGACAAAATTGGAGGTCTGGTGGCACCTCATTGTCACGATGTTCACGACCAAGACTACTGACCATTTGCCCCAGGTGATCATCCAATTCCTGAATTTCTGCTTTGGCCCCCTAGGGGACACTCCCCTTCTCTCGAAGAAACAGAACCTGATGGCCTCACCAGGTAAAATATTCTTCAAAACCAAAATCTGCGCGATTGATGCACTCCTCCAAATGATGGTCATCAAGGAGAGAGATAGAGTCTTGATAACGCCAGTTTTGAAGGAGCGCCTCCCCACAGCGATACCCATAAAAATGTTCGAGGAGAATCACAAGTCTTTCCTCCACAGCGTCTCCGAGGCAGTAATTATGATGACTAATCTTACAAACGAGGACCTTAAAAATCGTCAAAAGCTCATGACAATTCTGTGGACAAATCTGACAGAATACATCACTCATTCAAACGTGGAGAAAAAACCTAACATGTACAAAGAGCTGATTCTCGTAACAAATGAGATGATAAGCCACTCGGACGACTCCATGATAACTGATCTGACTCTGAACAACATTCTTCCAGAGCTGGTGACGATGTCAGATTTGCTGACGTATCGAGACAACACTCTGATAGACCTAGTGAAAAAGGTGGTAACACCTGCAATTTTGGAGCGAGCCCAGAAGAAGAGTATTGGCGATATTAGAGTGCTAATGGAGCGAGCAGTAATGCCCTTAAATGCAGATGCATATCACTCCCACATCCTGATATTGACAAAGTCTCTTCTGGAGAGAATGTCAACAGCTTTAGTAAAGAAGATTCCTCAGTCAAACGTCATCGATTTGTGGTGTATACTCGCAGATTTGCTAACGAGATACATGAGGGACGATCAACCGATAAATGAGGGTACAGATCTATCCCACAACCTCACCAGTATGGATACTCTAGTGAACTTTCCCTTCAAGCATGATATCATGTACACCAAAGCCCAAGTGAAGTCCGTCTCAGTAATCTGGAGACACCTGTACAAGGCCTTTGATCAACGAGCAGACAGAATTCCCAGTGTTAAGCACAACCTAATCATGAATACAACAGCTAAAGTGATGGTGGAGGCTCTCTCAAGATCTGACAAATGCTTTGTTCTGCTGGCCCACTGCCTGACCCCCCTCATGGAGACAGTGAACTACGAGAGGCTCCCCACAACCGGACAAGTACCAGCACTGGTGTACGTCCTTCGTGACGTCCTGATGTTGTCTATCAAGAACAATTGTGCTGACGAGGCTGAACTAGCGCTGCAGTCACTGGACGCCTACCTCATATCAGTTTTCGGTCTCAACAATGGCCCAAGGACGTTGCTGTACCTCGAGGCTCTGCGACCTGCTATCGAGATGCTATTGCTCGAAAAACTCCCAGCGGGAATTGAACAAGATGTTCTCCACACCCTAGAACACATAATCTTTATGATCGATAAGAGCGCTGAGGCCTTAACCGTGAAATTCGTAGGTTCCTTTCGTCAGATTCTTTTAGCAGCTCGACGCCACAAGGACCCCACCATCTCCTCGAATATGGTGAAGCTCATAGAGCTCAACCCAAACGTAAAGGACGACGTGAGATGCTTCTTTACGATAATGGAGCTAGACGCAGCCAATGTATCTACCGAATGTCCGGAGGTTTCGCCGTTGGAAAATAAATTAGTGAAACCCATCAAGATGGTTGGTAGCTTTCTCGGAAAAACACTGGACTCTCCGAAGACCCTCAAGACTCCAGAGGTTAAAAAAGAAAGCAAGAGGATGACTCCACTGCCACCAGATCCAGACTCGCAGGATTACGTTGTTATAACGTCTGAACCGAAGTTCGACGTCAATAGATTCACAGAGCATCAGAAGGAGTGCATGAAACGACGAAGGGAGGATCTAGCTATGTTCAATGATTCATCCCAATCGGCGTCGACAGACACCCAGGATCTCGAACAGTGGTTCGAGAAGTCTAGGATGAGAAATGAATCGAACAAAGAGAATACCATCACTATGGCAGACGCTTCCTCGTCGTCTAAAAAAGACGATACAAGAAATGTCACAGTAGACTCTACCAACAGAGAAATCCAATTGCAGAAGAGCCCTGAGAGTGTGATTAGTGCGGAGGATGATGTGGAAAATTCTGAGGCATCTGGAAGTGGAGTGTCTCAAGAAATAGTGAAGAAATTGAATTTTGAATCGAGGGAGGAGTTCCCAGAGAGCAATGACGGAACCAGGGAGAAACAACCAGTACACAGAGATCAAGGAGTCTTCCCTCATGGAGGGAAATCTCGACGGGGTAGGGGAGGTCGAAGCAAGAGAAACCACTTGGAAGGTTACGACACTATGGACAGACATATTAAACGAAAGGCGGGTTCTGACCACGATTCTGATACGTCAGACCGCAAAAGGACCAAGAAATCTGATGATAGTGACGCCGAGAGCATCAACTCGAATGAGAGTCAGCTAGGAACTCATCAACCTCGAAGTATGGAGCCTCCTGGTGTTGCCAGACTATCTGATCACGCGAGGAGGGAAATATCCAGGCTGAAGATCGATATGGTTGCTGATTTTGTATTTCCAACTGTCAGTGGACGGAGGAGATCGAAACACAAGGGGGATGACACTGAGGATCACCCCAAGGCCAGGTCCTTGAGATCTGGGGATAAGGAGATGGTGGAGAACGAGCACAGTCAGGAGTTGTTGAAGAAACGGAGGAAACGGAGTGCCAAACCAGATCCGGAGGTTATCAAGAAAGATACTCGAGAGCAGAAGATGAATAACAGTGCAGACTCTAATGATAAATCCGATAAATCAGATAAATCCGTGGATCCCCATCAGGATGAGGAGAGCACTTCAAAATCCGAAGATATGAACTCTCCTGACAAACCATCTGCAGAGAGCAGTGACCATGACGAGGTTGTGGAGAACTCCCAAGAGCCCACGGTGCTTCGATCTCCAAAACGACTCCCATCAAGAACTGACACAGCATCTCCATCGACATCTGGAATTGTCACGAAGTCTCCAGCACCTGCCAGCCCCAAGGTACAAAAACCGGAAGATCCCGACGAGACGTTTATTGAGGAAGAAAAAATAGAGGAGAAAACATCCCGTGAAGAGCCAAAGAAAATACCAGAGGACTCATCAAAATCCCCAGGACTGGCTTCCTTCACGTCGGTCTTGGCGTCGTCCTCACCCCAGAATGTTCAGGGCAGGGGTATCAAGATAAGTAATCGTCATGGGATGTCGCCCCACGGTCGTGGTGCCCACATGCTGGGACTGATCTCCGCAGCTTCTCTTAATAGAGACAAATCTGAGGAAGACAAGCGAGAGCCAGATCCATCCCAGAAGACTAGACCGGCGATGTTGAGACAGACTGACAGGGTATCGAGTCCCACAGGCAGTCGCCAGGAGAAGATCTTTAATAATATGAAGGGCAACGAGCTCCCCGCGCAATCGCTTTTCAACACCCTGAGAAACGATGGAGAGAAGATCTCTCCGAAAAAGGATAAGGCCGTAGAGCTAACTCCCACCGACCACGATTATGCCGAACCAAAGATCATCAACAACACGACAATTGGATCAGAGAGAGAGTTACCGATGCTCGAATGGTCAAGTGCAAATCCGCCCTCCCTGACAGCCTCCCCCAGCTTCTCCATTCTGAAACGCCACAAGTCTCTGCCCCTGGACACCGATCCTGACATCACACCCAAAAGAAAACGTGTGAGTTTCGCAGATCCCCCAGTCTTCAAGGAGATGTGGTACGTCCCCTCGACGTTTAAAACCACAAGAACTGGCAGCTTACGCTCGACTGGAAGAAAAGACACACCCCTGAAGCCAAAAGGTCGCTCTAGAATTGCCGCAGTGGTTGATACCTCAATTGAGGAACTCGAGAGTCTAACTGAAGTCGATCGCCAGCGACAGAAGGACAACGAACTCCTAGCGAAAATAGCTGACGACCTTGAGGAGGACGATGAGGTGAATTTCGATTCCGACGATGATGGAGAGGACAAGGGTGAGATTGAGGACACAACGAGCCTGGATATGAGTAAGAACGATGGCGAAGACTTACCTCAGAGTGATACAACCAACAACAACTGGAGAGCCCTGGAAAAACCGATTCTCAGTGTAACTGACGACTCTATCCTCAACAAGATAATGTCTGAAGGGAAAACGAATAAAAGTCAGGAGCTCGAGGAAACTCTGGACATCCAAAACCTGAGTAGATTCGATTCATCAGCAAAACCTGAGGAATTATTTGTTGGAAAGGTTCCCAGGACGAGTACACAGTTGGCAGCGATAACAGTAGCTGCAGAGGCTGACACTCTTCCCATCACTGATTCCATATTCCTGAGCCAGACGATGAGTCAATGCAGTCAGGGTTCTCAGAACAGCATAAATATCCCTGTTGCTGAGCAGCTAGACTCGATCAGTGCCATTTATCCAGATCTGATTCACTGCAAGGAGCCTTTATCCACCATCATCAATGATCTCACAAATCCCCTGTGGATCTCACATCTGACTAACTGGTTCAAGGAGAGAGGTCTGAAGACCATCGGGGATCTCGCCACGATGACAGAGAAAGAAGTCGCTGACATACCCACGAAGGGAAATCCCAAAGCCGTTTACGTCAAGGAGATTCTTGACAAATTCACCCGGAACAGCATCTCAAAAGACGTTCAAGGGTTGGAATCGACTCTATCGAGTATAGATGACAAATACTCTGGGGTTGAGCACATGGAGATCATCGAGGAGACCATCGAGGTGTCTAACGCTGAAAGAGACGACGAGGACACCCTCAGTGCCACCAGCGAAGACACCACCACAGCCTCGATTTCCATCAATTCTCTGGATAATTCCAAGGGTCGTTTGGAGATCGAGAGCGTACAGACCCAGGACAACGATGATAGCTCTATCATCATCAGCACGAGCAGCTTTCCACCTGCGACAATATCGAGTGGAACGGAAACCATTGGAGATGATTCAATGGCGATTTCAGTGGACGAATCACAGGGTCCTATCTCACAGGGAACAACACAAGGCATTGATGTGACGTTGCTCGAGCTGGAGGGAAAAAATTATAAACTGGTAGAAGTGGATCGCGAGATTGTTGGACATACCCTGGAACCTGAGCAGATCCTGGGGGCTGCACTTCGCACCAATGACCTCGAGAGGGTCCTCACCAAGTTGCAGGATAGATATGGCAGTGATAGAGAGTTTATCTCTAAGATTCTCGCATCATGTAAGTCGAGGATAACAGGTGAGGACGTCAGAGAGCAGTTGAAGGAGAAATGTTCCTCGAAGGAAATTTATGAACTCACGTCTGAGGTCCTTGGAAATTACAAGCAGAAGGGGGAAAACCTGGGAGACGTTTTTGGTACTCTTCTGCAAAAAATTCCAAAGGATTGTATTGGAGAGGCTCTAACTGACGAAAAAGTGGTTTCTTCGGCTCTTCTTCTTGATATTGCTCTGGAGAGGAACAACCCAGAGGTAGTGGCAAATACTGTGGTGACCCGATTTCCAGGAATCGTTGAGAAGATACTGGAGACGAGAGGTGAAGATAATACTGTTGCTATAATATCCCAGTCAAGGAGAATGTCGCCTGCAGAACTGAGGAATGTCTTCCGGGCTATCTCCGAACAAATGGAGGATGAGGAACTACTGGAGGTATCTTTTGAGGTCATGAGGAAGAGGATGAAGAAGTAATTAGAAGGGTTTTCAATTTTTGAAGTTAATGCCAGGGAATGTGGTCGTTTATGGTATTTCAGGTGGTATTACTGTAAACTATGACTGCGAATTGGTTTGGAAGAGGTGGTGTTAATAATTATTTTGGATTAATTATTTTCGAGGTAATGGATTACCTTGGATGAAGGGTTTTTCATTGACGAATTTCGAATACGTTAGCATAATGTACATATGGACTTTAATTGGAAGTATACTCAGATGCTCGAACGAGATTTTGTAAAAACGTTCATAATGACACATCGACTGTCGGAAGTTGATGTATTGGAAGTAAATGGTCTTCAGACCAATTTCACAAGTCAATGTACTGTTATTCTTTATTAACAATAAAATAATTTTATAATAAATGTTGGGATTTATTGCCATATACGCTAATAATAATAAACAAAAGAACATATTAAATAATCGATTGCATTATTGAGAGAGAAAAAAAAATTAAGGTCTAATTTCTTTCCGACCGCCTCGTCGATATTTTGGAACATATATAGACTCCGCATAAACTAACGGCAGCCGATAATAAATTAGCACTATTGATCCCACAAATATCCTCAACTATTCCAGTGGATAGAGGAGCAATCATTCGCGCTAGACTTCCAACGCTCTCCGTAGATCCTGCGATAGATCCTTGATTAGTAGCAGATGCCTTTTCCACAATCATTTCTGTCAATGTAACCCTTAGAATCATATCCGCTATTTTGAAAAATGTCGTTGATACCATATAAAGAAAAAAGTACGTTGAGAAATAAGTGCAGATAAAGCTCACTGTCATCATCGTAAATGCATGGAGGTTTCTTTTTTTGTACCAAATATCCTCTTTGTAAAATTTTGTCTTTATTCTGCCAATTAAAATGCCCGTAGTTATTCCTATGAAACTTTGGTAAGCTATTGTGTATCCAGCTATTTTCGGTGATATACCGAATCTTCTTTTTATCCTCACGTTATAATTCGCGTAAAAGGCAATAGCTGCCACTTCTGCCATAAATTTCAGAGCGAACGCATTTCCAAATACCCTCCAGTTAATTTCACCTAAGCTTGAGATTACTTCATTGAATTTTTTAAATGGCAATTTTTTCGGCTTTCCATTTTTTTTTGTTTCTTCGGGAGTTTTCGACTCTCGACAGATCAGCTTGTCACCGAAACAATAATGGGCTATCACTGAAACAAAATATGTGTATTACATGAGAATTCTATCGCAGAGACTGCTGAACAGTCGCAATTTACTAGGTTTCGAATTACCAGCATTAATTATGAATAATATGCCACTAATGAAACAGGTGAGTATAAATCCATCCTCGATTTCTGTCATGTGACCAGCTATTAATGGTCCCAATGCAAAACTCAATCCTGTTATTGACTTTAAATTTCCAAACATGACTGATTGATTTTCCTTGGGGTAGAGATCTGTTATCAAGGCCTGGATCATCACCTGGGAGTGTTTGAAGACTCCTAAAAAGGACCCACAATCAACACATTGAATTCCCATTGTTTCATTTATTTCGTTATTTTAAGGAGCATACGTACTCGAAAATTATAAGTACCTATTGTCACTCTGAGAATCAGCATGAGAAATATTGATTCCACCATTCCAAAAAGAGTGTAACAAACTCCAATTATTAAGCAAGAAACGATAAATATATTTTTTCGTCCAATTCTGTCACTCCAACTGCCCTTGAAACATTGCATAATCTTTATAATTGCTGATATTGCTAAAATACTGAACAGTTTTCTCTTTTAATTTCTTACAATCAATGGTCCACTGATAAGTTGAGTTGCAGCATAAATCGAGGAAATAGCGCCTATAGTTGAAAACGATGCACCTAATTTATTTAAATGCATCGACATTGAAGGTAAAATCAATCCAACGGCGAAAAAATCCTTTAAAAAAGGCAGTAATAAAGGAAAATTCTATGACATTTCAAGGGCTGTTGATTTGTTAAAAGTAAATGTCTTACCAGGAATGTGACAAGATATATCCAGCGAATATCGCTGACTTTGGTATTGGTTACCATATTTCTGTTGCTCTCAGGTAGTGGCAATTAGTTTATACTTTATTTCAACGTTGCTTCCGAAGAGGATTGACTAAAGTACAAGTTCAGTTCTGGGGGTTGGAGTGACCCCAGACTGCTACTGAGGCAGTACCAAGTCAGCTGAGGCGCAGACACTCCCATTGCGTGTGGCGCCCTCCCTGTCTTGGGGTGACTAGTCAATCCTTTCTGACAGTGACTTTCGTAGATGTTTTCATCTTTTCCAACTGTTGTGAAAATCACACAATGACAACAGAAATACCTTCAAGAGCCCTCGGTTGGTTATCAAGAACACCATAAAGCTTGAAATTTTTTTACATGCTGACTAGATCGCTCTGAAGAATTACATTAACTATCAAAATTCCTTTATAATTTTCAAATGATATTGAAATTTTTAATTTTCATTTTTGAATGAAAAAATGAACCCCCCGCGGACCATCGATGGCTATAATTAAAAATAAAATCAAGAAGTAATGGTTATTTAATGATCAACGATTATTTGTGATATTTAATCAATGTTAAATATGCAGTACAAAAAAATTTTGTATCACGTCACATAACTACGCGATCGAATACAACAGGAGAAAATAATCATGTTGATGTATAGATGCACAAGTACAAATATTAAAAAGGCGTGGCATCACTTTTTTTTAGCGTCCTTGAGTCCCGCACCGGCGTTGAATTTGAAGAAGATAATGTCACCGTCCTCGACGACATAATTTCTTCCTTGTTGTCGATATTTTCCTGCAGCCTGACGGAGGAAAGATTCAAGGATTAGGTGCACTTGAAATATTATTGCATATTTTTCTATTTGCCTTCGGTACTCGTTTGAAGAGGGACAATTTTTGTCTCGTCTCGATAGAATGTATAAGGGTTATTACCTTAACTGCAGCTTCAGAGCCCTCATTCTTGAAATCTTCAAATTTCATAACTTCAGCCATAATAAAGCCTCTTTCGAAATCCGTGTGAATCCTGCCAGCTGCCTGCGGGGCCTTACACCCTTTCTGTGGACAAAATAGGAGATCGTAATACGAATTCGTTGTTTGGAAAAATTGACTTAAACCGTTTGAGCGCCTTCCCAATGAATAAAATATTCGATTGAGGACAATTACCTGAATCGTCCAAGCTTTAACTTCATCAACACCAGCAGTGAAGAAATATTGGAGTTGTAGTGCTTTGTATCCCTGAATAATGATCTTCTCTAGTGCACTGTAAATATCGAAATAAAAATCCATGCGAAATTCAATGAATCTTGTCTGACAAGTAATTTACAATTGGCCTTAAAAGAAATGTGAAATTTCTGGCAGATCTATGTCGATTACGCGAGCGAAGACAATCGTCTTAAAATGAGCACCGCGCGACCATAGAATATGATTGTTTTGGACCAAACATCGTCTAATGACAGGGTAGAGAGGGAAGAAGAGCCATCGAGGGACGAGAGGCCCGAGACTTCGGAACTTCAGAGAACACACATAAAGCGAACGACTTAATACTGCAATTTTATCATTCCAAGTCAGGGTCCCCCTTCTCTCATCCCAAAACCATCGTATCTCCCCAGTGATCTTGCGGTCTCAAAATAAAATCATTACCCCAGTCATCCCTCATGATTGCTGGGTACCTATACGTTCATAGAATAATTTCTCAACGACCACTTGATATATCCTGTGGAATTCGAATTTGCCTTTTTTAAAAAAGGGTTTCAAAATTTCAAATCTATTCGGAAGCAATTTTCGGATTATTGCCACACAAAAAAATAATAAAGAAAAGTGGAAGACAAATGATAGGAGATACAACCAATCGATTTTGGGTTGTTAATTTGTTCAACTACTTCCTCGAAGCCATTTCAAATCAATCAATTTTTTTGGTGATTGATTGAAAATAACACACGGATCTTTTCTCAGTATTTCCATGCTGAATCACTTTCGGGAATGAATAATTTATTGGACAACGAAAAGCTAGTGAAAGAGCATAAAATAGTATAAAAAGTGCATGGAAAAAGCACACTTCATCCCCCTCTGGCGATGAATGACCCACTAGCCGAGTCCTCTCGGTCTTCACATTATTATACCCTCCACCAGGGGGGCGTTTTTTTAACGCAATTTCACAAGAATTTGAATAACACTTTCGTAAGATAATAAAACACAAAAAAATATGGGACCATAATGTACAATGCTGGTCGGTCTTTTACTGATTGCCAAACAAGTGGGAGAGAAATCCTGAAGTCTAGACACCGAGTAGAACCCCACCATTATTCACAACTGACTTTAAAGCTCTCTCGTTATTTCATAAAAGAGTACAAAATGAACGTGGGAATTTTGAAGGAGGGAGTAGTTGAGAATTTCACGACCAAGAAAAAATATATTTTCATGAATAGTTATGACTCACCTCGTGACTTTACTCTCCTCGAAATACTTGGCCTTTTCGGCGTTGTCCATGTCGATCACTCGGTTTTCGAAAACCCCACTAAACGGGATCAGACTAGCACCAGGGTCGTTCTTATCCACCCATTCTTTGATCTTAATAAGCCTTTTAACATTATAAAATGAGTATAATCAATTAATTAAATGCAGCACACAGAGAGATTTTTTTTTCTCAGTATGCCTTGAAATTTTCCAGCCACAAAAAAATTGGGAGAAAAAAAAATGCGAACTCCTGTAAACACACTTTTTGACAAGACATTGTTATAGTTTTATGACACGCATATCGTTCATCACTCTATCACTAAAGTATTACTATTCCCAAGTAAATAACTAATCATTTGACCAGATAGTCTCCCTATATTTATCCACGAAGCAACATAAAGGGCTCAACTCGCTCAACCGTTCAATTCTCACGACATTTGCAAAAAAAAAAAGGGGGGAAAAAATACGGATTAATACTTCATGAATAATAAATCCCTGTAACACTCTGGAGACTCGAGGACGATTGGTATGTAGACAGACAGTTTGCATTGACGCACCCGATAGTCAGGGGGTGTAACCGGGTATGAGCAATGTTGCACGTACCATCAACGATATTTCTTTTTTCAGTGAAAACCAATAACAGTGCGTTTCTATGTAAAATACATTTGAAACAGTTCTCTGAATGCATTCGACTGATCTCGGTATTCAATATCCTTTGAGCAGTAGTTGTAGGAAAAATGGCAAACTGTCCCAGAAATACATACATTTAAATATCGAACTTTTATAACTTACCATTTGTTTTTTTTACGTATGTAATCCTTTTCCGATAAATTCACTAAGTAAATTACTGGTTTGGAAGTGAGGAATAGGCACTTGTTCAGTACTTCGATCTGTAAATACATTGATATTTTTTTTATCGATGCATAATGAGTATGCGCGTGGGGGGATAATGAATACTATAGGGGGTTTATTTTAAAGAATTTAGATAGCACTCACGTCGTTGGCACTCCAGTCCTGGAATCTAATATGATTCTTGTCATCGACAAGTACATGTTTCACCTTTAGTAAAGTTTCCTAAACAAAATATTTTACGAGTCAATATCGATTTCTCAATTGTCTCATTCTCAATCGTCATTTAATACGTTCTAAGAACTGCAAACCCTTTTCACCACGCCCTAATCGCATCACAAGCTGATAATGCTGATGAGGAAAAATTTAATTCCGGATGGAATATCGTGGCATTTGTGAAGGGTACTCACGTATTCAGGTTTGAGCTTTTTATCGTTGCCCCTTACAACGAGCTTTTCCAATTTTTCCACATGAATATTGAGAAGTTCAATATCCTTCAAACGTAATTCCTCGCTGATTATTTCGAGATCTCGGACAGGATTCACCTCACCCTCTATGTGGGTTACGTCATCATCTTCAAATGCCCCTATTTACGCGAAAAGGAAAGAAATAGACACCGTCAGTCTGACGCCTTGTAACCACTCAGATAATTAATAACAGCCTGATACATGCCTCGATTCTACTCATTTCAATCTCATCTGTTAATGTACCAGACAGGAATAACAAAAATTCAGGTGATAAGCAACAATAAACAATGCCCCTTTCCTTAATTATAAACTCATGGGAGCTATAAAACAGTGAAATAAGCAAAGGTGGCACGCGACCCGAAGCTGGCTAATTCAATTATTCAGAACATGTATGACTTTTCAGTTCTTCACATATCCCTTTTTTCCGGTAATATAATTCTCCGAGTAGACATTAATGCCCCGTTATTTCAATAAGCAAACGTATTTTCCAGTGAAGTAAGTGTGTAGTACTCGGACTTGTGCCATTTATATGTGTAGTACATGCAATGGGTTAAAAAGAATTGAAGTAGGGGTGACCCCAGGTTGGCACGCATCGTAGATCAGGCACTTGGTTATTCGTATGTGTATGAAAAGTCTCTCCGAGGCTTTAGTTTATGATGTGCAAGGGAGGCTTTGAGTTTCGCTGAAAGCTACATGGAAAAGACCACTAGTCGTCGTTTATTTAAGCGGTCAATGTCCACGACGGTTGTAAATTACAGAGCACTTTAATTACTGAAATTGCAACGTGCCAACAGTTGAATCATAACTGCTACGGAATGTTATTCCTTCGTAAAACGTTAACTACTGTTTGGGTTTCACCCGCACGCTTCGATTATCAATTTTTTTATTTTCCATGATTTCTCATTATGAATTGTTCTCTGTCCCGTGAATTGCTTTAGACACTCAATCTGCTATTTTCAAGTCAAAGTGGATGTGGAGAAAACCATTAATAACTTACTGCACAGATGGAAAATCGCATCACACGCACTGATATGAGATAAAAATGCATTTCCCAGTCCCTGGCCCTCGGCAGCTCCTTTCACAAGACCCGCAATATCCACAACATTGAGAAACGCTGGAACTTTGCTAATGAAAAAAAATTTAAAGAGTGATATTTAATTAGAGAGCAAATTATGGGATTTTTCTCGCTACACTATCTACACACGTAGAGTCCTTTTGAATTACGGGATCAAAGGACTCGGTAGAGTTCACGTGTGGGCTGGATTATGGGTGTTGAATGGAAAGCTAGTAACGGGGGGAGGTGTAACTGACTGACAAATCCACAATGACAATGCATTTAAATGCTAATGCCCTCGACCTCATTAAACAATTAGTCTTTGAAGAGAGGGCCGAGTAGAAGTCGACATGGTATGGAGAGGGGGTTCCTGATTAGTTGGCTTTTATTACGGATCGGTGAATTCTCCTACACGTGCCGTAAACTGAAATGACACTGGGAGAGAACTATTTATCATTCGAAAATGTCTCCTATCTCTCATAGGTCACTTTGATGTTTTCAATCTCCACGGATTAATTCACAATGCTTTATTTAAACTTGACTTAGGATTTCAAAAAACGAAATTTGTCCATCACCCATGGAGGAGTAAATGTTGTAATCATTTGAGATCGCTGGATTACGTTTCGCAAGGTAATCAGAAAATGAGGGACGATTCACGATTTACGAAGACCACCGAATGTTTGGTGTCTCTGAGTATTTCGGTAGGACGAAATTTCACATTTGCTTATCTGCATTGCAGATCACGTCCCACGAAACCTATGGCTTATTCGTCTTTCTGGATCCCCTTGAATTCCCGGTTTTTCGTAGAGATAAAGCGGCGAAGACGTATGGAAATTTCGCCTGTTATTCCGAATCGCTTCCTCCGAGGAGGGTTTGTCGCGCAAGAACAGTCACTGATAATACTGTGAAATATTCGGTATTCCGCATTTCGAAATGCTGAATAATATATTGGAAATAATTTAGTATAGGTTTTGGGGATTATTTTTACCTTGCTGGCTTGAAGTACTCGCACAAGTAGTCAAATCGTGTGTCAGGTACAGGTACTCGACGTGCTTTCAACAGAAAATTACGTGTTAGACGTCCTATTGTATATGATATCACATTTTTTCGCAAATCTTTTGGAATATAGGGATATCCAGATGTGTGCTTATAAAAAAAAGTACGTCCAAAAATTGGTTTATCAGTGCAAGCAATACCCCTTGTAATACAAGCTTATACTTATTTTCATTAGGATCAATGGTGCAGAACGGGAAATTCTCAGCAGCCGCCTGGCTTTTCGTCAACACATTGAAGAACGTCGATTTACCAACATTTGGAATACCAACAATTCCCACTTTCAAATTGGTACCAACCCGCCCAATGAGTGGTTTCCGCTCGGGTTCCTCGACTTTCTTGGGTGGCATCCTATCAACAGAATCATTAATGCCCCGATGCAATAAATATAAGTGAGTTTCCGACTAGGACAATAAGGGGTATTTTTAAAAAATCGATGACACCCGCATGAGAATCACGCTTCTGGTTTGCACGAATAAAAACGAAAATGATGGGATGATTTTGGTCCACCTACACACGATGCATGAAAATTCTTAAAGACGAATTATGTGTCTGTGAAAGAGGCCTCGCAGCGATGTCCCGTACCGAATGGAAGGCGCTCGACTGCGTTTGTGGTGACTAATTATATTAATACGAACGGGTTTCGAAGCGATTGCTGTATTTACCGGTAGATTGCCGTTGGTAAGCCTCGAGATACAGTGGTGTGGATGGTTGTAAAAAAAAAAAAAGAAAAAATGCAAGAAATTGGAGTGGGAGAATTGCGCCCGGCGGAAGAGGATGCAGAGGATGCAGAGGATGCAGAGGATGCAGAGGATGCAGAATCCGATATCCAGTGGATCTATCATCCTGTGAAATGAGAAGGATGCAGCGAGGCATATGGATTTTGGTGGAAAAGGGTTGGAGATCCGAGAAAGAGGGGAAGACTGAATGGGATAACGGGGGAGGAATATGGCGGGCCAGCGGCCACGATTACTGGGCACTCCGACCACGAATCACCGGCATCACGCCGTGAATCCGCAACCGTGCCTCAGGCCGCCAATCCAACCCTCCCTCATCCTCTCACTCACTCCATCGTGCATTTTGCTGGTGGATTTCATAGCTTCCACAACGGTGAGACTCACTTTTATCCGCCGATTTGTACGGTTTAACATCAATTTCAAATCTCATACCTCTTTGTTTTTCCACGATTCTCAACTGTGCGGCAATCGAGGGGAAATTTGCGAATTACAATAATGATGGTGCGTAACCGTCCGCAAGGCTAGGGTAGCCACTCCGCCTTGGCGCCTTCAAGCCTAACTAGTGCACGGAAAAAATATTTTTTCCTTTCCACGATATATCAAATATCGCGAAACTTGTAAGATTCATTGAATCAGGAAATTTAAATTCGGCGGATGAAGTGCGGAGTACATCTCGTATATTAAAAATCAATGGGGGCGAAAATAATTGTTTGCAGGTAACATGAAGGAGGAGAACACATTTCTTTTACTGAAACGTGAACTCTAATGTTCATATATGGAGTTGAATAACGCGCGTCACTACCGTCATGCCTCTCGGTGGGCAATTCGAGAAACTGACATATCATCTGCAGACTGAACAGCTGCACAACATAACCAAATTAGAATACTCGAAAAAATATTCCTATCATCCTCGAATGACAAAAATAAAAGGCTGATCTTTGTGATTAAATTTGACATTTTTGCAAATCTATCTAAAAATTTTTACTGGTAATATTCTAAGCGAAATCATGCAATTGCTCATGGATTCTCCATGATTGTCGATTGCGGGTTTCAAAAGTTTGCAAAGAATTATTCATTAGGCTTTTGTTTTTATTAGCAATAATGGTAGATATTTATTTATTTTTGTAGAGTACTTACTCCAATATTTCAATACACTGGTATGCGGCTTTTCGTTGATTTTATTTATTGAGGGTTCACAACGTGTCTCACGGGAAACACCGCACTACGAGAATGACGTCACGGTCAATACCAATACATATTTAACAGAAGAATAACCAATAATCTCAGGAAATTAACTCAGATCATTTGGGAATTACTCTATCAAGTTTAGGAAGATGATTTGACAATTTAGGACTTGATGGTTCAGTCATAATTAATTACTTTTCATAGGGTGTATAGTAAGTGAGGGGTATGACCGGTTATTGATCAGACTAGTTTAAATCACTGCAATATCATTTGATTCCAGATTTAAAATCATAATCCTCAATTCAACCGAATGCTATCTACATAATCTAACTGTGATTTATTTTGAAAATAAATATTTTTTGATAATTGTAGGACCATACGGTAGTTCGTCTGCTTGCAGTTAGGAATCTGTCCTACCGATCAATTTGAAATGAGTGTTGAAATTCTGAGACCGCGAGAGATAAATCTGTTGAATATCCTTATTATATACAAATGAGAATATAACGGCTACCGCTCAAAAATCGAATTGAAGAAAGTCTAAAGAAATAATTTGTTATTTATGGGTGACTACTCAATAAATTCAAGACTAAATTCATCAAAGATAATCTCTGATTTTTTATTGAAAAAATTACAACGAAACAATTACATACAAATGAATGACATAAACGTGGATTCACAGAATCCATTAAAAAAAATATTTAGGTAAACTTCCGGGAAATATTAAACAACCCCTTTAATCTCAAAAAAAGTAAGAAATACGAAGAGGCCATCAAACTGAGTTGATTGCGACGCGTTCACGGAAACCATAAACACGCACTATTCCCTGCCAGAAAATCAAGACGCTCGTTGTGTTCCGGTGGATAGAATGTGAGTTTGGCGTTCCTCATTGCTTAATATTCAAAAGCATGGGGTCCACAGGGAATTAAATCTTAATTTGTCCGAAAAAGGCGACAATTATTTGAAAATCCCTTCGCCCCGTCTGCTCTTCTCTTTTAATGCTATCATCAACTGAACTTTCATGGTCATGTGTGCAGTGTATGGGAATGCATTCGAAAGGTCACACGGTTCACATTATAATTCGTGGGATAACATTAAAATTGCTAAGGAATGAAATAAAAGAGTACAAAAAAAATACTGGAGCTATGGCGGCGACTTGCCGACGGGTGTGTGCATTTATAAAGCTCTCAGTATGATGCATTAACCGTTGCACATCAGTAATTTGAATCCATCTCATTGTGAAAAGAAGGGAATTTCCTAATTGTGCAGGATATCTATTTTTTTTTTTTCGAAACAAAAAGTTGGCCAGTCTTGGAGAAATAAAAGTAAAATATCAAAATTTAATGACAACATTTTAGCGAAAAATTCGCTACAGTTAATTGTGTCCTTCGGTCATTGTTTAAGGGCATTTCCTGCGGTTAGTCAATGCTCATACTAATGGCACACTCGATTCGTCCTTGCAGCGTGTGATTATTTCAATTATTTTATTACGTACCTCACCAATCTAGGCCCACATAATACGTATAATCATGTGGTGCCCTATTCCTGAAGAAATGCGAATGGGCGCTTTTGCCTTCTTCCCGTCCATATACACGATAACATAGTTTGGTCGATTTAACGATATTGTAATTTTGCCAACCACAAAAACTTCTAACTCTTCCCGGCTGACATCATACCGCTTGCTTTCATACGGTATAATAAAATCTATTTATAATGGAATTTTGGAAATTAGGGTGTTTTTAGTAGTGCACCAAAAAATTTCATGAAACGTTAAACAATAATTCTTTCGAATTATCTCCACTCATTTTTAATCGCACTTTTAAATTAACTAGTTAATTACACCCTCGAGCATACAAGTTATGGAATTATAAATTGGGAAATTATAAGTGAAAGAATGTTTGCCATAATAATAAAAATAATGGTCTAAATATTCCAATTACACCACTTGTAAATTCCGTCGAACCGTTGATACTTTCTACTTTTTTGCTCGCAAATTCTAACAAATCGAACATTCAATAGCGGAAAGTAATGAGACAATTATTTTAATATTATAGACGTTCCACAAAATGAATCCATATTTTCGAATGATTAATGAGTTAATTAATTTCAAAGTACAAGTGGAATTGTTTGAAGTATATCAGACACCTTCATTATCTGATTGCTGAACCACTAGGTAGGACATGGTATAAATCAACACCTTGTGAAGATCATCATCATAAGAAAGAAGATATTCCCCCTAATTACTCATTGCAATTAGCGTTATCTCGACGCCTTCATTTATTTTATGACAGTATCACCATTGTCTTTGCACGTTAATGATATCCCCAGTTGTATCGTCAAATAATTGCACAGTCATCTCATCAGTACTCATAAAATACATTATTGTATATAGTAAGCACTCGGATTTTTTCAAATAATACTTCAAATACTCGCTCAATCGACAATCATTTTTTACCGTCTGATCAAGAGTAGAGTAGATAAGATTTAGACTCTCGCTTAAAATAGAAGAATTCCAATATTTCCATTGGCAAGCAAAAAAAAATTCATTTTTTCCCATTGAATTCAATTGATCCTCACCATTGGTTGAAAAAAAAATAGACAAAGAACCTTCCAAGTATAAAAGTGAGTATCCTCACTACCAAAAAGAGCATCCAAGCTGCATAACGATGTTGTAATAACTTGCATGGGAACTTGAATACTCTGCAATAGTCCATCGGCTCCATTACGCGCCCATAAACTCCACCACCGCTCAACCTCGTTGCGTTCATCCTCATGTTACTTTTTACGACAAATGAACGATTATAAGGACCTTTACTCACCCCACATCCTTCTCTTGCTTATCCTCTCAAACTCTCCTCCAGAGAGAAAGAAAGAAAGAAAGAGAGAGAGAGAGAGAGAGAGAGAGAGAGAAGGAGACTTTTCATTATTTTACAGTCGCTTTTACACACTATTTTTATTTCAAGACCTCCGAATAACCATTCGAGTATATATCTTTAACCATATCTCTCGAGCATCCGCGCTCTTCCATAACAACCAATCCTTTTTCAGATGAGCGATGAGCCCTTTTACATACTCCATCATAACCCACTTGAATTTTTTCCTGGCGATTGTTAATAGAAAACCTCTCAGCGAACTTGGGAAATCTAATTTTACTGGCCACTAAAACCCGGAGATGGCCTTGTTTGGTAGTTACCTCGGATAAATTTGCATCCGGTTAATTTTCGACGTACCTATGACTCTGACAAGGCCAGACGGCTCGTTACAGGTACTTTTCCCTTTCTTTTCTTGATTGAAAAACAAGAATAAAATATTGGAAGAATAAAATCTCGAAGAAAAAATTTGTCAAATGAAATCCGTCACCCATAAGTTTATATTAATTTGTTTTTATGAGATTCTATGGTATCCCCTCGATAATTATCGGAGGATGTTAGACCAATGGCAATGGAGGTGTAACGTTTAAAGTTGCTTGGCTGTAAACAATGCGGCAAAAGTAGCGGAACGGGCTACTACTGTGAGTATTAGAGTTGCAGAGAGAATTTATCCACAGGGGCCCACACGAGAGAAGGCACCGCCCGTCAATTGTTACCAATTGTTACCAATCACAGTAATACGTGTCATTATACAAAAAACATCAACTGGTTACAGCCAATGGTACATCTACACATTATATATCCAGCGAAAATATAATTATAAAGGCCATCATATACTTGGCTGAATCGAATATCTTTGGCATTGCGCAAAACCACAAATACTCTTTTCTCCATTTTTTAACTTACTTATCAATCGTGACTAATAATTACAGGATATTCATCGGTAAAGGGTAAATGGTCCGATGAGCATTTTTCATGATTGATATTCTCGAGAGGATGTGAATCGAAAAGACACTAATTATTTTCAATAAAGATGGAGTACTTGATGAGTCGTAATTACACGTCGTACATACGAATCATCGAATTACGCTGAACGTCTAGAGTGACTATCGTTCATGTAAAATGTCTTATGATAAATGAATGGGAGTGAAAAGAAAAAAAAAATAATAATAATTCGAAGACACGTACAGGTGGCAAATGTTTAAAAATTATCCTCATTTTTATGTTGCCTTATCGACACTCAAATTACCCATGCTCTCTGCGAGATACCCTCCCTCCATTACCATATACCATGGAGTCTCGGGTGGAAAAGGAGGTGGAAAAATAAAGAGGGAAGAAAACCAGAATGTCTACTTGTAAAACGGGTGCTTTCGCGCGACTTGGGGATGGTGCAACGGTGGAAAAAAAAAACTCGAGCCGCGATGCGTTTTATACTTCGTGCATCGCGTGGCTCGCATACAAGCCAGAGAGCAAAAGCAACCCGCGGGGCAAACGCGGTGGTGACCACGCCCCCTTAGACAGCCGCCAGCCAACAATTAAGATTTGATCGGCAAAAATGGTCGAGGCAAAATGGCGCTGAGACCCCAACAACCGCATACGTAATGCGCTCAACGGGTTGGAGGATCCCTATTCGGCAGCTCCGACGATGTAACCAAAATGAATAATCCATGTGGACATCCTTCGTCTTTTTTTTTCATCTTTTTTTCCTCTCCATTTTTTTACTCACCCCTTCATTCATTCCAATTTTCTTGTATTTTTTTAACATTCCATCTGCAGAATTCAAAGGGCTTTCCATGACATTCGATCCTGTATTTTTATCATATCTGGGTTGCAAGCTATCCGTTGATAAACATTGACAATTGTCAGGGATATTATGAGCGATTTTCAAAATTGAATATCCCTTGACAGAACCAATTATATTGAAAACGTCTCACGTAATTGCGGAAAACTTCGATTACACTTGTAGTAATGTGACTCTAGATATTTTTACGAGTGCATTAGAAAGCGAACTTTTTTAATCGAATGCGATCAGAGCGGAAAATTCCAGTAGTAGGCCCTCGATAAATCACTTTTATCACGCGATACTTTTCAATCCTTTTATCCCAATGTAATTTAGCCAGTCAACACGAATGTTCGTGCGAATGTGGGTACATGGCGCCAATGATTTTTTAT